GACCCAGCTGCTCTGCGGCATGTGGGATCTTCCCGGACCGGGGCACGAACCCGTGTCCCCTGCATCGGCAGGCGGACTCTCAACCACTGTGCCACCAGGGAAGCCCTGATGTTGTTCACTTTGATCACTTGATCAAAGGAGTAGTTGCCAGGCTTCACCACAGTCAACCATTTTCCCTCCTTTCGTAATTAATAAGCATTTGTAGGCAGGTATTTAGAAACTGTGTAAATGGCCTATTCTTCATCACTTTCCATTAATTCATTTTTAAATTTATATCAACTTGTGGTTTCCTGGTTTATTCAACAGTTGTAATCTTTTACCATCATTATTAACTTGGATGTTCAGATTGTCCCTGATGTGGCAATTGGAGCCCATTCAAGCTGGCTTCTGCCTCCTTTGACAGGTCCCCATCATTCTCTGAACACTTTCACAACAAAGTGTTTCAGGCTCATCATGTACTTTCCCAACCCCTAGTCATGGAAGCAGACATTTCTCTAAAGAATCTTGGCTCCTTTCAGTGGAAAATGGTATTTAGAAGCCAAGATCTGAGTGATAAGTATGCTCATTGGTACTGGGGCATTACTGTTCCCAGGCCCTCTCAGTGGACAAAGCTAGGGACTATATGTATGCATATATATGTTTATACATGTGTATGTATGTGTGTACAGACATACACACACAGACACATCTGTCCAAATTTTTATATATATATTTTTTCCCCACATCGATACATCCAATTCCAATCTACCACCACAGAGCTGAGTCTAGTTTTTGTCCCTTTTTGCAATTATAACTCCCTCCTCTGCCTTAATATTTTCACTCATTTAATTAACCTCCAATACGTAACCAATCTCCCAACTCCACTGCATGCCTTCCCCTGTGTGGACACCTTGCTAAGGCTCCAACTCCCAAATCAGGTTGTCCCTAAGTCTGCAGAGGTGTCCTTCTCACCCTACTCTGGCCCACCACACCACAGTTCTCCCACCCCAACTCACACCCCACAGCCACTCCCAACCACAGTGTGGGCAGCTAGTGGCTTTAGGCCTGAATGGAGAATGGAGGAGGAAAAAGACTGGGTCTTTTCTTTA